AACACATAGACAGAAGGCCCACCTACATCATCCAAGTGCTGACAGAAGAAATGAGTTCAAAACCTTCCCTTCTCAATGCCCACTGGGCAGCATAGAATCAAGACTCTTCAGAAGAAACAATAAAGTCAACAAAAGAATCAGAAACAAAGTAATAGCCAAGTGACAATTACCATTTCTTACAGAGTATATTCACACACTTCTAGAAAAAAAATCTGAAAAGCTGTAAAAAACAAAGTGGCTTCTGGAAACTGAAGAAGGGACTAGGACTGAAAGCATGATCAGACCACAAACTTTAGCCACAGTGCATGGAGAAATCAAGTTGGCACTCAACAAGAAGTTTCCTCCTAACTGGCTAGCTTTCATAGTACTGGAAGGTGCTATACAGTGCTGAGGTGGGAGGGGCCATCCACAGTCTTACCCAGCTGTGAACCCTGTGAACTACAATAACAATCGTGAGATAAGCATATGGGTGCAACAATGATATGAAAGTTATAGAGGGAGTCAATCACTTTCTGATTGGATTGAAGGCCTACTCCACAAAAGGAAATGTATGTCTGATACTACAAATCTGACCAAGAACCCATGGTTGAGGTGAAAATATTACTATTATTTTCTTAAATGGACATAGTATCAATCTGCCCCCTAAATTAATTATCTCTATATTCATAGATTTGTGCAGCTCTCAGACCTCATCAAAGAAATTTCCTTGTGCAGTGAGCAGCAGTTAACATAGAAAGTCACAACTGGTCAAAATTCAAAAGAAAGCTCAGCCACAAAGGGAACATCTATACCACAGCTCCCAACAAGGCTCTGATCTCATGAAGGAAAGAGTCAGGATTTCCAAACATGAGCTCAAAGCAGCTGTGGTTACCTGCACGGAGTGAGGAGGAGCTCATAAGCCCCACCCACCTTGGTTGGGAAATTATTGCCAGCAGATCACTTCTGGAGAGGGAGAACCAGCTTTCTTTAGGGACTTGGCCCCGGGTATGCTGAACATGCTCCAGTGGATGGTCCCACACTAATGAGTATTATGGCAACACAAACTGGCAACAGTTGGTTTTTTAAAAAAGATACAAAGTTGAGAAAGTGTGGATCTGGGAGGAGTTAAAGAGAGAAGAGGAAGGTGAATATGATCAAAATACATTGTGTAATATATATATAGGACAGTCTCAAAAAACTAATGAAAATACTATTTTAAAATTTAAAAAAATCATAGTCAGAAGCCTCTTCAGTCCAATCTAATCCTTAATACTCTTCATAAATGTAATCTATTCATATTTTTTTAAATTTTCTACAAGTGAGATGGCCTGTCCCATCTCAGCGCTGACTGTGTGTGTCTACTGGAGATACTAAGCTAGGTCAAGGCTCTCTGTCCTTAGTACACATGAAGCCCTTACTATAACTGCCAAGTTCTGGCAACATTTTCACTTCACATTTTAAAGCAGACCCAAGTCTCCTTCTCACCAGGTGATTCCAACTGGAATTACTTTCATAGAAGCTGAAGCTTAGGAACTATACCAACAGGCAGTTACATTTTGACTGCAATGGCCAACGTGGTCTGTTACATGCACAGCACTGGAACACATGGAAAGACAGGCAGACAGGAGCTGAGAACCATCACTAGCTGCTCTCCTAGCTCTGACATATAATGCAGGGTAGTTTTAGCAATTCCTTATTCTTAGAAATCCTAACTAGGTCTAAAAATTTAATACTCAAACATATAAGGAACACTAGTAGTCAAACACAAGTTAATTAAAACTGCTTATTTGTTAGTATCTTTTATTCATCTAGATATAATGACATTATATTCAAATTTTCCTGAGAAATTTTCAGTATAGATCTTCAAACTACTTTTACATAGATTCTATAATTGGAATATATAAATTAAACATGTTTCACATCTGCCACTGATGGATATCTGTGAAAGCATCATTTACTTCCATCTTACATTGAGAAACAGGAAACAGGCAAAGCCCACAATGAAAAGCAACAGTTTACCCAAATAAATGACTCTTCAAAAAACAGAGATTTCTAACAAAGTCCCCAAATCAAGATGCAACAAAAGAGAATAATCCACCTTATCTCCTGCTAGATGACAGATTATTAGACTCAGATGAGAAGATACCTAAAGTATATACAAACTGATTTAAAGGATATTTTTGTTTCAGTATCATAAATATTTTCTATAAGTCAGCATTTGAACCTTATATAACATATAAGTTATAAAGTATAGAAAAGGTTTTTAAGATAAAAGAATAAAAGTAATTTTGAAATGTAATTAGCAAATGTATTTCAAAGACCGTTGTCTGCACCTGAAGAAAAACTTCCCTGGGACTTCAGATGAAGAATAAAAATACCAACCTTCAGTTGTTTTCTCCACAGAGCATGATAAAGAGCACCCTGGCAACTATGTGAGATATGTTTTTCAAAACAGAGAAGGCTGGGCATCTAGGGATGGCTGACTCGCTGTTCTGAATTCACCTTTAACAACCATCTCCTCTAGTCACACTCAGACCGTATTAAACAGCAATCTATTACTTAAGAGCATCCACTATGCCCAAACAGAGACTCTTCACAACCAAAGTCTGAGCACACAACAGAACAATGCGCCAGATCACAGGCGGCACAACAATGCTCTTTCAGGTTTTAAAGGGCTGAATGCAAAAATCTTACATTTGCTACATACAATAAACTACATTCATTTCATCGACTTAAAATGTCTGCTCAAAATAACCCTCACTACTTCTTTGTAGCAAGTGATAAGCTTATTAAGTTATTTAGTGGACATTTTTCAATGAATACATTTCCCATTCAAATGTAGCAAGCTATCTGAGAGTAATGCTTCAATGAGCATGTTATGTCACATCGTGCACTCAAACCTTGAGCTGTATGTAGACGGCAGTACCCATAATGCAACAACAATAGCAGCTGATGATTTTTAAAAGAAATCAGCTATAAGAAAATTTTCCTCTTCTTTTTAGCAACTATATCACCAAATTAACTATGGTACTCTGGATTCAGTATACTTTCAATTCATAGTTGAAATTATCCTCTTCACCAAACTATCACTGAAATAGAGAAAAGTTGTGTGTTAGGTTCTATATTTTGTTCTGCTGTGTCCCATTTCTCCTAATGACAGATGCTGTGGGCTGATCTCACAGGAGCAAAGGAGACCATGCTGAGGTCAGATCTCCTTGTGAGAGGCGAGGAGAGAGGGACATTTTCACAGCTAGGAATGTGGTTAATGCATCCTCTATTCTGGTCTCAAGCTTTTCAGCTGCTGCATCACAATCCTGCTCTTCAGCAGGGGCACACTCGCTATAGCTCTCTGTATCTCACCTTCTTAAAATCAAAGACTCAATCCTAAAGTGTTAACAGAAGAATTACAAAGTAACTCTCTAGTTTGCATTTCCCATAATACTAAAATAAGGCTTTATCTCTAGTCTAGAACTTTGCTTTTTTAATGCTGCAGAAAGCCTCTGTGAATCTGTTTAACGTATTTACTCTTTTCATCTATTCAGTGCCACTGGGCATAACACGTATTGCAGTGTGTGCCGCTGTCTTACACGGCACCACATGACTCACTGTACCACAGCGCACTCCACTAATCCTGTTTGGACAGCTGGGTCCAAGAGCTTCTCAGCTGCATTTTAATTGTTCTATCTTTTTTTTTCTTTTTATTTATCTCTATGGCAAACTACTCGGGAATTTAATTTGTCAGGCTTCAAAAAGTAAATTTTGCCATTAATTTGTTTTCTTTGTATTAAGTCTAAGCGTGTGATTTTTCTCCCACAAAATCGAAATACATTAATGATTATCAATTACTTTTAAGTAACAAATTACAATAAGTAAGGTTTGCAAAGGTTTAAAATGGAAAGATGGCTGATCACTACCATTATCTGCTGGACTGTCCTAACAGATGTAGCATTTAGCTTCAAATGGTGGCATAATGTGTATCTTTCAAGATTAGACACCATAAGCAGATGCATCCTACCAATCAAACATGAAAGAGACATAACCACTAAACAAATGGCCCGTGGAATACAGGTCTCTTTAACACTTACACTTGAATTCTACTTTTTATTGAAACATGGAAGACTTTGGGAAATTTATGAAGAAAACTACAGTGCTCCCACTTTCTAACATAGCTGCAACACTGATGGCATGAGCTTCAAATCAATGATGGAGGCAGTGTCTGAGTTAGGGCAACTCCCAGGCCTACAGCTGCTATTGAAGTCAGGGCCAGAGTTCATAGATGAAATCTGTCTGGTCATTTTCCAATTATTAACTTCTAAAGTTAAAACTTAAGTCTAGAAAATTATATAGAACTGCCTAAAAGAAACTTCTGCCTGAAATAATATTTGGTCAAACACAGCCTAGAACAATGCTTTATAGAAGGGGCCAAATGACTTATGTATGACTCAACTCTTTCAGTGACAAGGCAGAATTCTCTTTTACTTTTAAAAGATGACAAAAACCTGTCTGCACACTGACAATGTAAGGAAATGCTATGATTGGCAGGCAAGAGGAAACAACAAGACAAAAAAGTATCCTTAGAATTGGTCTGTGCTCCCAGGGCCTGCACATCATGCTCAGCTCTATTTTCATGGACACAAAGCAGTTTACAGTAGATTTACAAATTTCTCCTTATACATTTGGAAAGACACTTCATAAAAATTATTTTCATATTTTCTAGGCATTAAGCATTTTTAAAAGTCACAAGTTTCCTCACTAGAAGATTCTTTCTGCCTAACTTGTGAATTAGCGAGGGAAGGGGTCTATTGTTTAGTAAAGGAATGCTTTAAGTGCTTAAAAAATAAATGGCCTTTGTTTAAGAAAAGCACTTGCTTTGGTATGGTCCTAAACACAAATCAAACACAAAATAATATAAGTATTATATTTTAAAGATGATTTTAAAAAAATTTACCAAGCAAAAGTTAGAAAGATTTAATAAAGCTCTCTATAATGATTTTTAATGAACATTTTTCAGTCAAATTTACCCAGTGTTCTTGACATCACAGGCAGAGCAGAGCTCAAGACTAAGATTGACACACAATTCCCAATGATCTGTGGAGAGAAAGGAAGGAAGTGAGCAGTAAAACAGCAGGGGCAAAGAACGCACTCACAGACAGCACCCAGTACAGATACCCAAGCACTTGCTAGATTCCTAATCATACTAACCATGAGAGTAAAATTTAAACATAACAAGCCTTTCCTTTAATTTTATAGAAATTAAAGTTACTCCTATGAATTCCACAAAATACACATAGTATAGGTACAAATGCAAAGTCAAAGAATATTTAAATCATACACATTTTATATTATTGATGCGGTTGTTAACTTGAAGCTTTGACAATGAAATAAAAAAGAACACCTTTGGACTTCTGACTAAATCTTAAAGACAGATTGCTGCCAAGTTCTTTTATATAATATGTATATACCTGTGATATGTATTATAGAGGGGGTTCTTTGCCATACATACACATACATACATACACACTTTAAATAGGCTGTAAATATAGACTACATAATAAAAACGGAAATGGGCCAGCAGCTTGTAACCATTCTTCTTAGGCAGCATGTGAGAATATTTTACAAAGACCAATTTATTATGTAAGATAAGAGTCTTTATTGTTTTGGAGCCAATGACATATTGTATAAAGTCAAATTAACCTCAGACCACACTGTTTCTGAACAGAGCTCTTCCTTCTCACTTTAATTATTCAGAATTGAAATACTTTGTCTCAACTACTTGTAGCAACTAAGTTCTTCAGATTTCAAAAAGTCCTGAAGTACAGTTAGCATAGTCCAAGTTACTCATTAGCAATATGTTTTCTTTAAGAAGAAAAAAAACAGTTCTTTCAGGAGCATTCCACAGCGAGTTACCAAGTTCTGTAGTTCTGTGCATTTACAAGTGAATGGATGCAGTCCAAATTACACAGAGCACATCCTTTGCCACTCACTCAGCATTCTGAAATCTTCCTTTGTGTGTTCGCCGCTTACAAATACCTATCAGCCCGGATAAGCCATTCAGGGTGATTACTAACTAAAGCCCTTGTTTGTCTTGGCAGCAAGGGGAAAGCCACCAGCACCTACAACTCTGCCTTACCTTTGTCATCGTTGTGTCAGCCTTCTTGGGTGTAAAGTTTCCAAAAAATCTGAGGCTATAGAAACCAACAACAGAAGACACCATGAGATAGCTGTAAGAATGAAGGAAAATGCTCCAAGGTAATGCACATTTCCCGAAGTCTGAAGCCCACAGGAAAAACAAAACACAACAAGCCACTGAGGCTTGAGAAGGACTGACTTGCTTTTTCTTCTAGACAAGTGTCTTACTAAATTACCCTTGTCCCAGGAACTAGACAGAAAACTTGTTAACAGATGTAACATTCAGCTGGAGAAAGGATACAAAATCAGAATGATTTCAAGTGCAGCTCCCACAAAGCCAAAAGTGGAGAGAGAGGCGCTTCCTATCCCAGGCCCCTGCAGGGAAAACACTCCTCAGAACCAGTGACATCATTACACAGACAGTTCCAACTGGAAACATCAACTTTAGAATAGCATGAGTCTTCCAAAGGCTGACTGACCTAAGCACAAACTCGGCAGCATGCTAATCATTTTAACAGGTTCAAAAACAACCTGAATAACTGTAAACATACTTTTAAGTTTCTTGCCAAAACGATACCAATATGATTACCATTATAAAATGGAACAATCTGCTATTTGAGAAAAGCATCTTAAATGTTCTAAGGAGGTTTTTTTTAAATAGATAATAGTTCAGAATAGAATACAGACATAAACCAAGGTAGACGTAACATATAAAAATTATACCATAAAGCCTGCCAAATTTAAGATATACTTACAAATAATGTATATCCAGTTTCCTTTTTCCAAATTTTTTCAATAATTCAATACAAAAGTGTGACTGATAGCACTTTTTTAAAAAATGTAAAGTAATTTAACACAATAAAAAGCAATGCATAAATTCTCACAAAAATTACCCCAATTCAAGATCTACCTTTACCAAGAACTTAGACAAAACAAAATAAATAATTTTCAGATACTGATAACTGAGAGCAAACATCACTCCCCCATTAAAGCAGGAACAATATTTTCGAAGCTTACTGATAGAGTTTAAAAGATAATCTCTGAATGCACCTCACCATTTCCCTGGTCATTTTAAATTACAATGGCAACCAGACTAATAAAACAGAAACCAATAAATAATATCACACATTATATATACATTCTAATTTAGACATAAAGTAATAAGAATACCATGGCAATTCCATACATGAATAAAGTGACTGCATGGGACTTATCATCTTTTGCCATTTAAGAGAACATGGACAGTGCCAAAAGCACGTGGTCAGGTTTTAGACATGTTATCCCAAATTGGACCCTAGGAAGGTCCCTTGTTGTAGGTGTTGGGTTCCCTAATGCAGAGAAGAGGAGCCTCCTCCTTTCTCAAGGCAGGACCCAGAAGCAGTGGAGCATATGATTAAGGAGCAGCACACCATACTATCATGGTTCAGCATGCCCATCACTGTCCCCTCTTCAACAAATGGAAGCTAAGCTTTCATAAATTTTATATTAAATTCATCCACTTTTCTCTTATTATGCCTTTTGCTATTAAGACCTCTACCATGAACCCAGTGCTGGATAAGGAAAAGATTTAAAGGGACAATTAAAAAGAGTTCATACATTTACACAAGCATACAGGGAGCCCTGGGGGTACAAGTTACTGTACTGTACAGGAAGGAGATGACACAAAATGCACCCCACTCTTCTGTTCCACTATACTGAGGTGAGAGTCAACAGAAATCACAGGAGCAACTTCCTGGTATGGGAATTCGGTCGAAGAAAAAGACAAAGCCCAGCTGCAGAAGAGGAGCATCTTTGCAGCAGGCCCTCCAGTGAGAACTGACAGTGAAACAAGGTGATAGAAGGTGGCAGGAGGGCCCAGACACACTGCTGGTTGGGAAAGGTAAGACAATGGCTAAAAAAAAAATAAAAGCAGGGTACCTCCATCTCAGATGAAAAGAAAGGAATTAAGACAGGGACTGACTTTTTTTCTGCGAGAAAAAATGGCAACATCTGGCTTAAGAGAAATATGACATAGTAATGTCAAGAGGGTCTTACAGACACCACTATGAGGACTGGAAAAACCTATTGACCTAGGAAAACAGAATGAACTTCAAAATGTAAGTCAAATAACATTTTATATATTCAAAAGCTGTGAGGTCTGGCGGTCCACACCTGTAATCCCAGTACAAAGGAGGTAGGAGCAGGAGGAACAGACGTTCAGCCAGCCTTGGCTCCATATGGAGTTTGAAGACAGGCTGGACTACATAAGATCTTGTTCCAAAACATAAACACATGCATGTGTGTGTACATGAGTGTGTGCACGTATGGCATATGAGCATGCATACATACATACACACACAGATACCACCACCACCACCACCACCACCATCAGCCGCCGCAGCAGCAGACTTTATAGACAGCTGGAAAAAGTGTTGCAAGCTAAATATAGTGGAATACATCTGTAACCTCATCACTTAGGAGACTAAGGCAAGAGCATTGCAAAAGGATGACAAAAGACAGCAAGTCAACTACAAATATTTAATGATATATCTCTTACTAATAGAACATATATTCAAATGTATACCATAACCTAACAAAATCATCAACTTTTTATTTGGGACTATTTTTTGAGACATGCTCTTAATGTATAGTCCAGGCTGGCCTTGAACTCAAACTCAAAACATTTAGTCTCTTAGGTGCTAAGAGTGCATGCATGTGCCATCAAGACTAGTAGAAGCACCAATCTTTAAACTAGATAAAAGTTAACTCATGAAAAAAGTACATCTGGACTCTCCTTCAATAACCACACATTTTAAACAAACCTCATAAATTTTGTGATACTTCTGACACTCATTTCCCTCCACTTATATAACATATATATATAAAGTAACAAATATGAAGCAAATTTGTTAAATCTAGCTGATCTGCTCTTTATACATCACTATTTTAAAGCATGCATTTCCTTTAAAGAATTCCAAATAAAAACTTCAGTAAAAATCAACATCATGTCTGACATTGAAGTCTATAAATAACACTGATACTTTTAAAAAAATGCCCTAGAAACCAAAGCGTGCATGTGTGTATGTGTGCATGAACATGTTTATGAAAGCTCTTTATTCAGAGAAATTTATAGAGCTTGGGATGCTTACACTCAGAAAGCTGTTTCCAGGAACTTACACAAAATAATCAAACACACATCTAAAAAGGCTTTGAATACATTTAACTTTACCCTTGTTCCCTTTGGCATTGCAGTCTCATCAACCAGTAGGCAAAGAATATTACACGCCACCAAGAGGACCGAAATGGACTGCAACAGAGAGAGAGCTGTCAGGTCCCAGTTTCAAATACTCCTTTTGACAGTGCACATCACATGTGTCTTTCAGAATGGGAAAGTACAGTATATACAAGCACTCCGAGACAAACTGCAAGCATAAATTATAAGTTCAAGGTTTATGACAGAAGGTAACAATACGGATGGATTTACTGCACAGACTTCTCAGTGAGAAGTCCACAGCTCCCCTGACTTTCTGGGGCTGAGCTCTGGCACAGCTCATCTTAGAAAGGAATTCCACTCCTGCAGCTTTTGGAGCAGCAGTTATGCTTTGCATTTTCTTAATTCTACTCAAACAAAGCCTGCAGTTCCTGTTGCATGAGAAAGTGCAACCTTAAGGATTTATCTAATTGTCATTCATTTCCATTCTTTTGCTGTGCTGAATTTTTCACAAATTGAGATACAGACAGATTTTGATTCTGTTGATAGAAACCCAGTTAACTAGAAACAGCCCAGCTAAAGAAAACAGTAAACAAAAGACAATACAGTTGATTTAAACAGGCAAGTAACTTCTTACTGTTTCAATAAGAAGTAGAACCATAACAGCAGGATACACGAGATTTCTCTCCCATGCCGAAGCCTTTTTTCGCCTCTCTATTAGAAAGAAAAACAAAGTAAAAATTTCAGCAATTTTCAAAAATTCTCTCCAGGTTTATATTTTCCTCACATCTCATTATATTGTGACCAGTATACATTATTTTTTATTTTCTGAAAAACATAAATTTTAAGATAAATTGGTTTTTTATTTTCCTCTATAAACTATAAAAATCCATTTAAAATCAGCTTGCTACAATAAAAGTTCAATGCCATGAAGCTTAAATTTCAGCTTAGTAAAGAAAATTTTGCTTTTAAGAAAATATATCATTAACAAATAGCTCATTTTTAGGATGAAAAATATGTGTACTTGACATCCATGTATATATTGATACAGGAAGATATTTGAGGGAATAAAGGAGTGTGAGTGATAATCCCCTCTAGTTTCAGGTCCCAAGGCTTTAAGGGAACTTCCCATTCTAGATGGAACAAGCTACTTCATACCACACCCAATCCATGCTATGAACACTAGGGAAGAGGAATTGAATTTGAAAATCATCTCTAGATGTATTAGAGCAACAAGTTAAGAAAAGCAAGAGGCCAATATTGTGTGATGTAGTGGAGGTGAGCCCTCTCTGTGAGTATCCATTCCCAGCAAGGCAGTTTTCAATATGGAGTTAGTATGGGCCCAAGAGTCTGAGATATCAAGTAGAAGTCAAGAGACAATGCATGGCAGGGGCCTTGAATGGCTCAGCAGTTCAGAGCACCTGCTCCTCATCCAAAGGACCTGGTTTTGGTTCCTAGACCCACACTGTGTGGCTCACAACCACCTGTAACTTCTGCTCCAGGGTTCTGTGGGTACCTGCAGACACGTGGCACACTTATAGCCAAGCAGATACACACACACACACACACACACACACACACACACACACACACAGAGTTTTTTCCCTTTACATTTGTGAAAGAGGCAAAAGCAGCAGCAATGCTGAGGCAAACTCTCAGGAAACCCAATAAAGCCAAGGAGAAAACAAAAAACAAGAAGCTTGGAGTTAGCAAAGAAGTCAGAATTTTAGAGGGCAAAATCCCAGAGAGAAGAAATGGGTTAAGAAGTAAGCCTGCCATGTAGATTCCTTCTTCCTTGAGACCTCAGTAGTGAGAATGCTGTGAAAAGGGAGGGGGGGGGGCAAAGCTGCCAGGCCCAATCTAAAGTCCACTAGGAAGCAGAGTCAGAACCAATGAAAAGCAATACCTTAGAAACAGAGACAATCAGACAGTGCCTACCCAAAAGAAGTAAATGTCCTCCTGCTTCTATAATTTTAAGAAATAGGTGCCGGACGCCCTGGAAAGGGAGCACAGGCACCCTTCAATCCCCTATATGGCCCATTCAGTGGGGGCTTCTCTCCCCAGCTACTGCCTTTCTCTTCTTATCCCATCCCAGCTTGCCCCCAGGCACCCCTTCCCATCTGCGAAGTCATAGGATCTGTCAATTCAGCCTGCTTCGGGGCTGAGGGTCTGGGGACACAGTGGTGAGGGCAACTGCTGCAGGAGTTTCTTTGTCCCACTGAGCCTGCACCCAGCAAGCCCGCCCTTTTTGTCTGTGAGGTCCCTGGCCGGCAAGGGGCCATGATCCTGTACCAGAAGAGCCATCCGGAGGGTCTACTTCACGGGGGAGAAGATCTGAGAGACAACTCTAGTGCTGAGAGGACCTAAGAGAGGGCAGACCAAGAAAAACCCCCAAGTACACAGGTAGCCACAGCAAAGACCGGACCAAGTCGCCAACACTCTCCTAACAGGATTTGAAGGAAGAGATGATCAGGCGCCAATGAAAGAATTCCTCCAACAGTCTGAAAAGCAACACGGTAACACCAGAATCCAGCGAACATACAACAGGAAGACTTGAACACCCTAATCCAGAAGAAATAGACTTTAGATGTAACATTATAAAAATGTTAGAGACAATTAAACAGGATGAGAAAAATTCCTTTAAAGAAATGGATAAGAAGACTAACAAAAAGTTAGAAGAAATGAATAAATCTCTCAAAGAAACCCAAGAAAATCAAGAAAAAGCAATCAAACAGGAAAGGGAAACAGTTCAAGACTTGAAAACTGAAATATAGGCAATGAAGAAAACACAAACCGAGAGATGGCAGGATATGGAAAATCTGGGTAAACAAACAGAAACTAGAGAGACAAGTATAACCAACAGAATACAAGAGATAGAAAAAAGAATCTCAGATGCTGCAGATACTATAGAGGAAATAAATGCACTGATCAAAGAAAACAGTAAATCCAACAAATTCTTATCATAAAACATCTAGGAAATCTGGGACACCATAAAAAGACCAAACCTAAGAATCATAGGGGTAGAAGAAGAATTACAGCTCAAAGGCCCAGAAAATATATTCAACAAAATTATAGAAAAAACTTTCCCAACCTAAAAAAAAATATTCCTATGAAGGTACAAGAAGCATACAGAACACCGAATAGACTGGATCAAAAAAATATAGTAATCAAAACACAAAACATACAGAATAAAGAAAGAATATTAAGAGCTGCAAAGGAAAAAGGTCAAGTAACATATAAAGGTAAGTCTGTCAGAATTACACCTGACTTCTCTATGGAAACCATGAAATCCAGAAGGTCTTGGATATATGTGCTGCAGAAACTAAGAGACCATGGATGCAACCCCAGACTACTATACCCAGCCAAGCTTTCTTTTACCATCAATGGAGAAAACAAGATATTCCAAGATTAAAAACAAATTTAAACAATACATAGCCACAAACCCAGCCTTACAGAAAGTACTAGAAAGAAAATCACAACCCAAGGAACCCAACAATACCCACAATAACTCAGACATCTAACAACCCTCCACAAGCATAACTCAAAGAAGGGAAACACACAAACACTACCACCAAACAAAAAATAACTGGAGTTAACAACCACTGGTCATTAATATCACTTAAAATCAATGGACTCCATTCACCTATAAAAAGGCACAGCTTAAGAAAATGGATGCGAAAACAGGATCCAACATTTTGCTGTTTACAAGAAACATACCTCAACCACAATGACAGACATTTACTCAGAGTAAAGGGTTGGGAAAAGGGTTTTCGATCAAATGGACCTAAGAAACAAGTGGTGTGGCTATACTAATATCTAACAAAATTGACTTCAAATTAAAATCAATCAGAAGAGATGGAGATGGACACTTTATACTCATAACAGGAACAATTCATCAGGATGAAGTCTCAATCCTCAATATTTATGCCCGTAATATAAAAGCACCCACATATGTAAAAGAAACATTACTAGAACTCAAAACACACATCAAACCCCACACACTAATAGTAGGAGACTTCAACATTCCTCTCTCACTGATGGACAGGTCAACCAGACAGAAACCTAACAGAGAAATAAGAGAACTAACGGAGGTAATGAATCAAATGGACTTAACAGATATTTATAGAACATTCCACCCAAATAGGAAAGAATATACCTTCTTCTCAGCATCTCATGGAACCTTCTGGAAAATTGATAATATACTAGGTAAAAAGCAAGCTTTCACAGATACAAAAAAAAATTTTAGTAACCACCTGTGTCTTATCAGATCACCATGGAATAAAGTTAGAATTCAACAACAATTCTACCCCCAGAAAGCCTATAAACTCATGGAAACTGAACAGTCAACTACTGAACCACCCCTGGGTCAGGGAAGAAAGAAAGAAAGAAAGAAATTAAAGTATTCCTTGAATTCAATGAAAATAAAGACACAACATACCCAAACATATCAGACACTATGAAAGCAGTGCTAAGAGGAAAGTTCATAATAGTTCTAAGTGCCCACATTAAAAAAAAAAAAAAAACCAAAGGAGAAAGCTCACAGTAGAGACTTAACAGCACAGCTGAAAGTTTTAGAAAAAAGAAGAAGCAGACTCACCCAGGAGGAGTAGAAGACTGGAAATAATCAAACTGAGGGCTGAAATCAACAAAATAGAAACACAGAAAACAATCCAAAGAATCAATAAAACAAAGAGCTGGTTCTTTGAGAAAGTCAACAAGATTGACAAACCGCTGTCCAAACTAATCAAAAGGCAGAGAGAGAATACGCAAATTAACAAGATCAGAAATGAAAAGGGGAACATAACAACAGACACTGAAGAAATTCAGAGATCATTAGGTCTTACTACAAAAGCCTATATGCCACAAAGTTGGAAAATGTAAAAGAAATGGACTTGTTTTTAGATAAATACCATATACCAAATACCATATACCAAAATTAAATCAAGATCAGGTGAACAATTTAAATAGACCTATAAGTTGTGAGGAAATAGAAGCTGTCATAAAACAAAAAAACCTCCCAACCAAAAAAAGCCCAGGACCATATTATTTTAATGCACAATTTACCAGAACTTCCAAGAAGAGCTGATACCTACACTCCTTAATGTGTTTCACATAAAAGAAACAGAAGAGTCAGTGCCAAACTCATTTTATGAAGATACAGTTACTCTGATACCAAAACCACACAAAGACTCAACCAAGAAAGAGAATTACAGACCAATCTCACTCATAAACATCGATACAAAAATTCTCAATAAAATACTGGCAAACCGAATCTAAGAATACATCAAAAAAATATCCATTACGATCAAATAGGCTTTTTCCCAGAGATGCAAGGCTGGTTCAACATACAAAAATCTATCAATGTAATCCATCATATAAATAAATTGAAAGAAAAAAAACATATGATCATTTCATTAGATGCTGAAAAAGCATTTGACAAAATTCAACACCCCTTTATGATAAAGGTGTTAGAGAGGTTAGGGATACAAGGATCATACCTAAATATAATAAAAGCAATATATAGCAAGCCAACAGCTAATATCAAATTAAATGGAAAGAAACTCAAAGACATTCCACTAAAATCAGGAACAAGACAAGGCTGTCCACTCTCACCATATCTCTTCATCATAGAGCTTGAAGTTCCAGCAATAGCAATAAGACAACATAAGGAGATCAAGGGGATTCAAATCGAAAAGGAAGAAGTCAAACTTTCA